AGTCGATTCTGGCAAACACAGCAGAAGTAAATTTCAGGTCCGGGGTTGGGCTCTACGCCCGCCCGGAGTAGAAGGATGCGGAGCAATCCGGCTGCAAGGTATTGCTCCATGGACGGATAATGATTAATGGGTATCGCCGATCTAGACGGGGTTAGATCGCCGAAACAACAGCCCTTGGTCGGGTGAAACCCGAGTCATTCCGGTACATAGAACCGGCTGTCGTGGGAATGTTTGATAAGTTATCTTTTGTTTTTGTTATCTTCTTGGCCTAATAACAATTAGTACTTGATGATTTTACTGAGCTAGAGGCCGTTTTTAATGCAAACTTTTGTGAAACAACAAAAACAAAATTGCGCCAAAAAATAAGCCCTTGAGGCCCAAGGTGCCCTTACATAGAATATATTTAATTTATTTAGGCTTCATTGTGCTGAAAGGTTTTTCTTTCATTTTATATAGAAGCATACGTAAAAACTTGAATAAAAGCCAATTCAAAATAATTATGCCCTGTTGCAACTATGCCGACCTTTTACAATTTTTTTTTACATATTTACCAATGTCATTATTTTTGGTGGAATTTAAGATAAGTACTGAGTTGTAACGAAATAGTGTTGATGCAAAACCTATTAAAGGCACAAACCCTGCTTAAAGCCGTTTAGTTTAAGTACTAAGCACTATAATGCTATGCAGTCGAAGTTTCGCAAGTTTCATAAATTTCTCACTAATGCACTTACTGTTTCCTTGCAAAACCACGCGCACAACCCTAATACGCGCGGCACTAAACAAAACTACAGCGCGTTTCAAGACCATACACATCTTTCAAAACTACATCAAAGCTCAAAAATATATACCAACAATAAACATTACTTACATTGTGCCGACATGATCAGCATTTGTTTGCGATAACTCTCACGAGCTTTGCGTAAATCATCCTCTAACTGCTGTTTATCTGTATGCAAACGGCGTACATGTGCGTGTGTGCTTTGTATCATTGAATAAAACATATTTGCATTGTGCTTTTTGCAATCACCACGCTCCAACCAAACGGCAATCGTCTGTACGGCCTTTACAAAAGTGTCACCACTACGCAGATGCTCGGCGACTAGCGATGCTTCGTGGTCATTATAATGTGGTATGGGTGGTGGTGATTGAGAACGTAGGCGGTCAGTGGATAGACGTTCACGATGGCGTTGCTCACGCTGCAATTGCCGTTGTTTACATTCGAAATCATAAAGATCATCGCGCGCTTGTGCATAATCAACATGGAGGCGGCCAAAGTTTGCGGGTTCACTTGTGTTAGAAATACGTACGCGGTAGCCAGAAAGATAGATGGCACGATCAACAGATGCCTCGTGGCGATAACGTATGTGACAGAAGTTTTTCTTGGATGCACGCAGTGTGGTTATTTCACCACAAGATTCGAATATTTCGCGTATGAGCTCCTCAGTGGAGTTTTCCGGTAGGCCGCCTACAAAGACTGTACGGCAACCTGGCGGCCGCTCTCGTGTGGTTGGAGGCGGTGCACTCGGGTTGGGTGGAAAGAGTATGCAGTTTTTAGTTTTAATCACTTCTTTCATGCCAGAAACTAGATCGGTAAAATAATACGTTAAATTTAAATTCCATAAAAACCCATACAAGAAAATAAATAAGCAGGTAAGCCTTACCAGCACCTGTGGCGCCAACTGCTGGTAACTGCCCATTTACACCACCTTCGGCATTTGGTAACGCTGCGCCAAAGTTAGCATTATAAGTTTGTTGCATTTGCTGCATTGCTGCTAGCATCGTCGTCGGATCCATAAACATTTGATTGGCGGCTAGCGCAGCTGCTGCTGAAGTGGAAGCCGCATTTGTTGGCGCGGAAGTTTGATAAAACATGTAGGGTGTGGCATTGATGCCGCTGCCGTGTGCCATATTTGGGGGCATAAATCCATTCATAAACATATTAGGCATTCCCATTGCCAATTTATCTGCAGTCATATTTACATCAGTCACCGGGGGCATAGAAGTATTAGCAGTTTGTTTAGTAACAGTGTTGACGTGCTCAGTCTCCGATTCATTTTCAATATCCATTGGCGCTGTACCCCGATTCGGTTTTATTCTTGTCGGTGATTTCAAACGGAATCGTGGAGCTGGTGGTGGCTCGGGAGTGCGCTGACGCTCATTTGAATTGCTGGATGTGTTAGCACCGCCAGCCGTTGTAGCGGGTGTGGTTGTCGCGGCATTTACGGCGCCAACTGCTGTAGATATTGCTGCAGCAAGTTGATTGATGAAATTTTGATTGTTATTACCGCTATTGCCATTGCCGGCAATGGAACCAAGTAGGGGCACTGCAAGAGAAAACAATGAAATGTTTACGAAAGTTATCAAAATATAGGGAGCGCTAACAGCAGATGGGCAAAAGAAATCCGAAATGAAATTGCCGGAAAATCGAAACAAATTGAACGGAAGTAACAGAAAGAACAGCGAAGAATAAAATATGATACAAAGCGGAGGAAATAAATCCTATGAAAAGCAATACACATACACAAATAAATTTTCACATGAAAAAGCACATAAATTAATGCGGAAGTAGTAATTAAACGTTTTTATTACTCAATAATGGCTTATAAAATGGATGAAAGTGGGAGGACTACGTACTATGCGCATTGGAAAAGCGAATTTAGCCAGTTACGAAATAACTTACGCATATTCTGCAAGTTCCCGTAGTTAGACTCCATTAAATTTGTAGATGCTTAGTAATTTGCTGCATCGAAGGCTTTTTAAGCATTTGAAATCAATTTTTCCTCTAGTAAATTAGAATTTAATTGTAGGGATTACACGCACTTCACTTTTCTAGTAGAGGTGGGTAACTCAACTCAGAGTTGAGTTATTGAGTTGATTCCTATAAGTGAATCGGTAACTCAGACTCCCTGTCCAAAAAAAATGTAACTCAGTAACTCAGTTGATGCCGTAGGGCTCACATGAATCAATTGAATCATAGTGGCTCATATTTGTCCATATAACTCTCTCGCTTCGCCACAGTGTTTAGCATGGCAAAGTCTTGCATTTTGTTTTTGCACGAGGCGAATTTATACAAGGTGGTGGCAAGAATACAACAACAACAACCACATGTATTTTGTATTGCGGGTGTTATGTCAAATCTCACAAATTCTTATAATTTCGTTTTTTTTTTAGTTTTTCTCGAAATATGTATGTATGTAAGATATATAAAGATGTGCATATCAAATCAATTGCCTTTCCAACCATAATATATAAAGATGTGCATATCAAATCAAAATCAAAATATAAGCTTTTGAAAATATTGAAAATTCCACCTTTACCCTCCCCCTAGCACCGCCCTATTAATTTGCACACAAAAAAAATTACACCTTTCAAATCAGTAGAAAGGAGCTGACCACGCCCACTTTAAAGTTTTGTTTTATCTCAACGGCCGCTATACCGCATCTATGCCTCAAAACGAGTCTACGATACGAATGAGTGTAACATACAAAGAGTCAAATGAGTTAGTTGAATGAGCTGACTCCTTAAAGTGAGTTGGAGTCATTGAGTCAACTCCTATAAATTTGCTGAGTTACCCACCCTTATTTTCTAGGCCAGCAAAACCATTCATGGCGCTATCGATATATCGAACATTTGATTTGACACTATGTAAACTATCGAATGATTCAATTTGTCATCATTGTGCGCCACTATCGTATGGTCATGAGCCGTTATCGATAATGGATGGGAAATACTCATGAACCAAAAATACAAGATCACGCCTTCTTACTGCCATCCCTAAATTGGCGCGTCAAGCGCCAAACAACTGTCAAAAATCCTCATGCCCATACAATTTGTGTGAAGCATCCCACAATAACGCGGCGCTAACGCCGAGCAAATGGAATTTTCATTTTTGACAGGGCGTTACGTGTTGAAGTTGGATGCGGAAGGCGGAAAGAAAGAGAAAGGACAAAAAAGTGAAAGAGGAAACGAGAATAAAAACGAGAGGATCTGAGAAAACGTCAAAAATTACGACGCGTTGATTTGGGGATAGCGCGCGCTGACACTCGTCGACAATGGATAACGCAACGCTTAGCGCTCCAATTTAGGGACGGCAGTTAGTAGCCCGTTATAATCGCATTTAGGAAAAAAGTTGGGCGACTTTGACATTAGCCGTTTGATTACACTTGTTCGTTGTTTACAATTTGGTGGTGGCTTTTTACTGCAATTTTCTTAATTTTCGCTTGTGACAACGTGTGCACACATAAGGCAAGAATAATTTAACACAACGACATGATTTATAGAAGAATTTGCATAATAAAAATGATTATTCATGCGTTCAACAATTACGCGGTTTTTTTTTGTTCTCTTCGTTGTTTACTTCTTACAACAAAGATGGCGTCGAGATTTCAACAGCTAGAAAATAACTTTTTTCTTTCTTTCGGGAAGGCGTGATCTTGTGTCTTTCGTTCATGGGAAATACTTAGCACCATAGTTGCCAACTTGGTGCTTTAAGCATTAGATTTAGGGCTTTTTGAAAATTAAAACGCCAAAAAATGACTTAGTGCCTAGTGCCATTTTTTAGTGCTTTTTTTGAACTAATATTACTTCGAGATAGTTAAAACCTGAAACAATTTGAAATATTGTAAGCTGTGGTGTCTCAGTTACAAGAACATACAAATATAAATGCACTAAAATTCAATCATGATTGATAAAAAGCTGAAGTTGCAAACACACCTTGTTGAATTATATTCGCGTTGAAAATGCTAGTATGCAGGTAAGTTAAGTATTTCTTTTTTTCTTTTCTAATTGTTTGTACAAATTTTGATTTTTTTACCACCTGAGTAAACACATCGTTTCTTGGTGTTGAATCCAAATCTGGCTGCACAATTGCTTTAGTACTAGAATTTTTAGATATCCTACCCTCAGATTGCCATAAACACGTTTTCTTGCGATATTTGAGGTTATATAATGAAAACATCAAATTTTTTGCTCACTTCTACTTAGAGCATTATTTTCGTTTGTTGCGATTCGATTTTTCTTTCTCGAGATATACTAGTAATAGTACCTCGGTATTACGTCGTAAGCATGAGTCATCATAGCATGTGTAGAGGCTATTCAATCGTTATGAGCGAAAACGTTTTGTGTATTTTTGCTTTTGTTATATACAAACTGTTACGAAAAAAGCATCATTTAATTAAAAAAGAGTTGGTGCATTTAGCTTGGTAAAACGCTTTTTTCCAAAGTTTTTGGTGCTTTCTGAAAATCAAAAATTGGCAACACTACTTAGCACATATGTATCGTCGGTGATACCGCAAAACCACCGCAAAACGTTCTATGTCACTTAGTCGACGTTCAGACACGAAAACTTTTGTTGCGGAACCTCGAAGCTTGTGGGGGAGAGAGCGACGAGGAAAGGGACGGGTACCGAGTCGCCCATACTCGGGAAACACGCTTTGTGCTCGTTCGTCTGTGTAATTCAAGTTGCCGATTCACAGCTGACAACAACAATTGCGTACAAAACAGTTTCTGTGTGTGAATGCAAAGGGCAACACCAAAAGAGAAATCGCCGATAATAAGAAACTCGAGTTTTCGTGTTTGAACGCTGACTTATTTCCTCTGGTGCTTAATTGATCTGTTATCTGGATCTGATCGCTTCTGGCAATCGTTCATATTCAACAGGCAAAGGTAAATAGTTTTGTCATTCGTTTATAAGGGTGTAATGATTTGCACATGCATTCCAGTACAAGCAAGATACCATCTAAATGTCAAGGATACTAATATATATACACCGTTTTGCAGTATCACCGACGATATGGCTTTTATAGACGAATTTAAAGGTGTTAACTTGATGCGATTCTATAGACAATTTTAGATGCGATTAGTTGAATCAAAAGTTTGCCGCGTCCCAACTTCATTCGAAGCGATTAATTGAAGGGCCGTTAACACTATAAGAACCATGAACCAAAAATACAAGATCACGTAAGAACGCGACGTTGTATTTGTAACTGGTTTGAGAAAAAAGTTTGCGAAAGCGGGTTCGTCAGCATGAACCAAAAAGACAAGATCACGACAGCAGAAGAGTGGCCCGTTATAATCGCACTTATGAAAAAAGTAGGGCGATTTTGACATAAGCCGTTTGTTTACATTTGTTCGTTGTTTACAATTTGGTGGTGGCTTTTTACTGCAATTTTCTTAATTTTCGCTTGTGACAACGTGTGCACACATAAGGTAAAGAATAATTTAACACAACGACATGATTTATAGGAGAATTTGCATAATAAAAATGATTATTCATGCGTTCAACAAGTACGCGTTTTTTTTGTTCTCTTCGTTGTTTACTTCTTACAACAAAGATGGCGTCGAGATTTCAACAGCTAGAAAATAACTTTTTTCTTTCTTTCCTTAAGGCGTGATCTTGTGTCTTTCGTTCATGGTTCGTCAGCTGGGCGTTTGTTTACATCACAAGCACCACTATTTTACACTTTTATTCAAGTAAAGAAGAGTTAATTCAACATGACAACACATTTTAAAGCATTTTGTTGCATCATTTTACCTAAATTGTGCGTTTAAAGTGGCTGACAATAATTTTGGCTAATTTTGGTTTTCGTTGTTTTCTTTGCTTTGTTTACTTTTCGCTCGTTTTCCAGTGAAACAAGATGGCGTAGAACCCGCTAAAAAATCGACTTTTTTCACTCTCTTGTTCTTACGTGATCTTGTATCTTTCGTTCATGTATAAGAACAGTGATAGTCATTTCATCGATCATGTGATACTCACTGGTGACGGAAATGTCCATCAAACACTCCCATCACGTTGTTGAGGCCAATGTGCAAAAAATGGTGAAAACAACCCTCTCTACAAGAATTGTGTGATGGAAACTAATAAATTTTCATTTACCTTACTAACACATTTACAAATTTTGCGTTGGTTAAAAAGAGACAACTAAATAAGGCCATAAGTCGGAGGAAGACGGAAGATCACATGTAGGGAAATGTATACATGTGATTTTATATCTTCTTTCAACTTATGGCCTTATTTAGTGGTCTCTTTTTAACCAACGCGAAATTTGCAAATGTGTTAGTAAAATAAATGAGAATGTGTTAGTTTCTATCACCGAATTCTTGTCGGGTATTTATTTGCAAGCCTGCCACATCGTTAAATGGAAACTGTTTATTTTTAACGGGATAACTTGTTGACGGTTTTATTTAAAATACGTCAGAGAACGTTAATCTAAATAATAGGAAATTTTTCGAGTAGTATCTGTTAGTTCGAGGCTGGAACAAAAATTAAGGGGGCATGGCACTGCCCACATTTCTAACTTGAAAGATAAAATACCAAGAAATTCAATGGCATGATTCTCTTTGCCGTCCGACATCATGGCTCAGGCGAGCCTCTTGAAAATAGGGGAAAACCATTAATTTTGCTTACAAAATGCCAAAAATACTTAAAGTGAAATAAATAGGAAAGTTGTAACTTCTCAATGTCTGGTACGTTTTTTTTATATGTATTGTGTACGTGAGTGATGTTTTTGAGTATGTGTTGTTTACATGTTTATTTATAAACGTATGTGTTCCTTTTCTTTTGTACATGTTTATTGATATATCTGTACTGAAATTTTTCAGACGGTATTATTTAGCTCTTACAGCCAATATCGGAATATTACATATATGCCCTCATCGATCCAACTCCGGCTATGCTGACAACAGTATTTTTGCGTAGAATACCTTTCGTTGGCGGCCTTCGGCCGCGCTTACGGATTATAACCTTTACTACGCAGAACTATACTTTCTGTTACTACGTTTATGCGTAGGCAAATTCACGAAATCATTTCATGAATTTGGGTTAAAATTGGCTGCATAAATATAATTTCATGAATTCAATTATATGTACATGAAAATTAACCATGAATTTCGGCACCATTTCATGAAATGATGAAATGCAAGTCCGGCAACGCCAAGTTTCACAGTCAGCTGTTTACTAGGGTTATAAAGTTTTTAGTTTCAAAACCACGTAGTAGCATAACCATGAAATAAATTTAAATAGAAAAAACTGAAATACATTAAACCCAATTTTAATATAACAAGGCTTATTTTCGGTATTTTTGTATTTTTGCGTGACGACGCAAGCGTAAGCTTTTTATTTTGACTAATATCTTCGTTATTACTTAAATTTTTGCAATAGCATATGAATAGCATAAGAATACAAATGGAATTCGTTGCCTTTGTGAATGTTCACGCATACGATCGCATTGAATTGTATAGCAAGCTTTAGATAGAAAGGTCCTCCATGGCAACTAGAACTTCCCATCCGTACCAGCAGGGTGACACTGGATCTCGTCCATTCAGAACGCCATAATGTATGAAATGGAAAGGTCGACATGGAAACTGGTCCTTTCCTTCCGATCAAATGGCGCGTCTATGGATCTCGTCCATTCAGATCGCCCGTCGGTAGATTAGTCTATAAGATTAATATATATTATTATATTGTTATCTATTTAACACAGATAAAATATGGAGAAGAAGGAGAACGGAGAAGCTGTTTCTGGTAGCATACTTACGCTCTGTTGTCAAAGTTCAAACTTTCAAGTCGTGTGTAAACGGCCCTTAAGAAAACAGCTGTTTAATTCTGCGCGCCATCTTCTGGTTAACCTTTGCAATACAAAAACAAAATATACAACAAAACAAAAGGGTGAATCATCTGCAATTTTGGTTTTTGACGTTCGAGAAAATTTCTGGATTGCGTTTGTAAGAAAAGGCTGCGAAAATTTATTAATTATAAGCAAAAAAGCAAAAACTAAGTGTATTAACATTTAAAAATGTCTGTAAATACAGCACATGCCAGTAATGGCGTTCTGATTCATGCAGGAGAGTAGTAAGTACAATATTAATCCGGATAATTAGATTTATCTTCTAATCGGGGTGAGCTATTTGTTTTGGCTAAAATGCCACATGAATAGAATTATATATGCTAAGGAATGAGGTCATTAATTAAATAGAATAAAGGTTTAGGCTATACAAAAATTGATTTAGAGACAGCTTACTTTAAAAGGACTTTATGAGCGTATTAATAACTCCTAAAAACCTATGGATTAGTTATGACGTGTTCAATTGATTAGCTATCTGGTTTGTTTGCTGATAACTAAAAGCTGCAAGTCTTTAATATTTTTTCTTATCTTTGCCCACAGCATATTGCTGCACAGCGATGGGGTTACTATGGATTTCTCGGGCCAGGACAACCCAGTTTTTAAAGGCTCAAAGCAGGGTCGTATTTACTTGACTTCTCATCGGCTCATTTTCAACAATAAGAAGCCGGCAGATGACTTGCAATCCTTTAGCGCACCATTCATCGCCTTATCAGATGTAAATTATTTACAAATTACTTTGTATAAGTAATTTCAGAACTATTGTATAATTAATAATACTTATTTGACCTTAGGTTGAATTGGAGCAACCAGTATTCGGCGCCAATTACATCAAGGGCAAGGTACGCGCCCAGCCAAATGGCAATTTCATTGGCGAAGTCAAGTTTAAGCTACACTTCAAATCTGGTGGCGCTATTGAATATGGCCAAGCATTGCTGCGCGCTGCAAGCACAGCACAAAGCAATTACCATCGTGGAGGCGCTTACAATGATGATCCACCACCATACACACCATCGGGTGCGTGGCATGAGGCGCCACCTCCGGCCTATCAACCCCCACCAGGCTACTACGGATGGTTGCCTACACATGAGGCATTTAGTGGCCCAGCACCGAATACGGTGTTCGTAAGCGATAATCCACCACCATATCCAGGCATTGGTGGACGTAAGTATTTACATACAATCATGTCTTTATATGGGATATCATTTGCTATATGGAGCTCGTTTAAAATTTCTCGGCTTTTGTTGATTTCGTGTTCTAGAAGCTCTTATTTATGCCAGATGTTGTCTATATTCATACATATATACTGTGTTCTAAGAGCTACAATTTTAAGGACATATCATGTTGTCATGTTAAGTGAAAGCACTTTAATTTTTTTTTTCGTTTATTTGCCTCTTATGTTTTCTATTTATCGCGTGTGTATTTGCGCACTTAGCACCAGCTTACATCCCGCAACAGTATCCCCAACCCGGCTATAACCCACAAGCAGGCTACACACAACCACAAGCTGGTTATAATCCACAGCATCCACAATCTGGTTATAATCCACAACACCCACAAGCTGGTTATAATCCACAACAACCACAAGCTGGTTATAATCCCCAGCAACCACAAGCCGGTTATATTCCACAACAAGCACAAACTGGTTATAATCCACAACCGCCGCAAGGTGGCGGCGATCCACAACCACAATATGGCAATAATGATGCTACCTCTTGGATGGGTTTTTCAGCTCCACCTACTGATCAGTCACAACAACAGCCACAACCTGGCAACCAGCCACCCCCTTATGGTGGCACGGGCTATGGCCAACAAGGCGGTTATCAACCCGCTGCACCCGGTGGCTACAACCCGGCATATAATCCGGCATACAATCCAGGCTATCAACATGGTGGTTATCCACCACCGGGCGGTGCACCAGGCGGAGCTGCGGCCGGGGCTATGGGCTTCGGCATGCCGCCAGCAAGTAAGTTGAATACATTTGTGTAAAATTTTCATGGCATCATTTATTACACAATTTTATGTACTGAAATTTCAAATATAAGATTATTATTTTGACTATTTGGTATCTTATCTTAACACCTTAAAAAAACCGTTAACCAAATAACTTTAGTATCTGAAATTCCATTTTTTTAACACCTGCACATTACACACACATTTGTTTGACTAAAACCCTTTATTAACCCCTGTTCAACTATTTTGACTTCCAAAATATTTATTATTTCTTTACTTTAAACAATTTCGCCTGCAGTGTTTTGAAAATCGTATCTCAAAGATAACCAACAGCCAATACAGCATATAAATCACCAACACAAATAAGAATTCGATCCAAATTCCAACCTCTAAGGCAGGTATTATCTCTCCAGAATTATTGTGTTTTTGATGTTCCTTATGTTGGGCTTTAAAAGCTTGCGCAAAAGACAAGAAAATAGATACTTAAGCCGAGAAATAACAACGCCCTTCTTACACGCTTGCGAATTCCATTGTTTTTTGAGTATGTGTGTATTTTACAAAACTTGTTTTTTTTTTTATTTCTTTATCATTCTGCAGGTAATACTACGTACTATTACTACCCGTACTATACCCCAACACCTTGTGTTAATTTTGCGTTTATACCAATACCAATTATTTTTCCATAAATGTTTACTGAATAATTGCATATCTTAGCCGCAAGCAAGACAATTTCTTTACTACAAAAATCTATGCACCTCTTTATAAGTGTAAGCATTTTCTGCATTTAAATACCTTTGATTTATTGCGTTTAATAAATTGCGTTAATTGTTCTTTTTTAATTTTCACATTGTGTAAAACCAATATACCAAAATATTTGTATAACTATTTGCAGATTCGAAAGAAGCCGAGGCAATGGCTAGCTCCCAAAATACAACCTACAACCAATATTCTAACAACGCTGCCCCCAGTGACTTGCCACCAGCGTATGATGTAAGTGTTGCAATGTTAGGCCCCTATTATGATTTGCATTCGATTTTCGACTGTGGTCGAAAGTGCTGAGCGAACGAATTTGCATTTGGTATTATGGCACTCATTCGATGAAGAATAGCGCTATTGTGAATTTCGCTCGTTTAGGTTGTTCACAATAGTATATTTTTCACCGCTGAGAAGCTTTGTTTACAAATCGAGCAAACTAAATAGTGTGCTTATACATATTTATGTAAATTTGTTCTAATTAAAATGAAGTAAAAAAGAAAGCAAGTTTATAAAAACGTGGTAAAATGAGTACAACGAGTTCTGGTTCAACGATTCGTCAGAGGATGAGAGCTTAGTAAACTGGCCAGGAGTAGCAAATGTTTAAGAGAGTTTAAGTTTATTAGTCTTTCGAATATATTTTGATATAAAATATATTTAAGAAATTTGTCTACAGATTCATTAAAAAGTTCCGACCATCTAAAGAGGCGTTTGTGAGCCAAATCTATTTAAAATATTTTAAAACTATCAACAGCGCTACGATTTTGTTCTCAGAGATCGTGCCAACAGAGTATTGGGATTTTCTTTCACAAGTAAAACCAGCCTTTCGAGCTTGTGTTTAGTATTCAAGATGTTAGAACTGCATGAAATTAATAAAAATTGTTTAAAATTAATGTCTAGCCGCCAAAATGTAAGAAAACATATACAAAATCATACATTTTTCACAATTTTCTAACACTTCGCTACACCATCGAAAGCAAAATTCTGTTCGACAGAAAATTCGATACTCAACGAAAATTTCGACACGCTTGCATAGCTCATAATACGAATTCCACTTTCGATCTTCGATCTTCGATAGCCAGCGAAGATCGAAAATCGAATGCAGCTCATAATAAGGGCCTTAGTTTTTAGCTATTAATTTATAATTTTCTTAATATACACATTATTTTCAGGCTCTACCACGCAATTATAATAGCGAGAACAAGAAGCAGCAATAAATTGAACTATCAACTTGCTCACAAAAATTACCAAACGTCTACTCTACAAAACCCACACAAAATTTAAGAGTCACAATTTGCAAAGCATAGATAAAAAGTGTGTATTTTGTGGTTTGCTGGCTGACATTGTTGCTTTGGGCTATTTATGTATGTGCTTTATTCATTCCGCTTGACTTTGGTGTAACAAAAATTCTACATATGTATACACAAATAAACACTATACTATGCAAAAAATTGTATATGTATTCTACAAAAATATTATAATCCAAATATATGTACATATAAAATTCTTATACATATACACACATTTATACCAAATACTTATACATGCATTCTAGCTACATATTTAGTAAAAGGGTTTTGATTATAAAAAATAGTAAAATTAGTAGAATATTAGTTTGGTCACCTGATGAAACATTCGTCTTAACAAACCTAAAAATATGATCAAATCTCAATTTTCGTTTTGACTTTGCAATTTGTAAAATTTATTGTACGAAATATGAAATTACTTTCAGTATTTCCTTATAATCGATTCTTTATATGCACTAAACATTTTTCTTGTCTTTATATCGATCCGTTTTTGTTTGAAACTGTTTAAATTTTGTTACTGTTATTAGTTGTTTTCTTATTATAACTATGTATACAAATTTAAATAAAACTTAACTGAAAAAAAACTGTTATCTGCATGTGTTCATTTAAAAAATAAACTTCAGTTATGCAGCTGAAGTCACATCGGTCGTTTCACAACTTTAAACTTTTACATACGTTTTTTAACCTCTACAAGACCATACTCGTGCTTGTAAATTTAGGGTTACGTCCATGACGGTTCGCTCTTGGCAACGGCCCAAAATATTGACGGCAACGACAAAATTTTATGAAATGAAATTAAAATATATATATTTTTCTTTCTAAAAAAACATATGTATTAAAAAGTTTAAAAAATAAGTTCTTAATGAATGAAATAAAAAAAAATTATTTTGAAATTAATATCTACAAGCTAAAAGAAACAAAATAAATAAATAACACAAGTTCCTAAAAATGTCATTATATTTAAAAACACATTTTCTCTTAATGCAATTAAAAGAGAAGAAACTTAAATTAGAAAAAGATGATAAACAGGAAGGTTCTGCTGTTTACTTCCGAGTGAATTTAAACCCCTGCCAATTTGAATTCAAAGAAAATTTTATTAAAATTCACTCGGAAGTAAATTGTAGAACGTGCCCGAAAATATAAGTTTCTAAAAATTAGATTAAAAAAGAAAAATGTTCCTTTTCAAAACGATAAAATAATAAGATCAAACTAAAAAAATAAATATCCAAAAACGCCTCTAAAATTAATTGAAATTAAAATAATATACATATATCGCACGTTTAATAATGTAGAGACATAACTCAAAATTTACATTTTTGGAGATCTTATCATACAATTAATAAGCTTGATAAGTAGAACATGTTCAGGCTAACAGATGGCTAAACTTCCCAAACATCGCAAAGATATGGGTATTTTCAATTGTCTTTTTGTATACCAACTGTAATGAGTTGATCAAACTTTGATTGCGTTTTCCCATAAAATTTAAATTTTGAAATACTTCTGTATATTATTAAACGTGCGATATGTATATGGGGCTTTCCATACCAAAATGAACGGGGTTCACACTTCATGTGTTTGATTTGTTTCAAATTTTTAGGGTTGATGGATAAACATAAATAATAAATAAATATGAAATTTAAGTTTGATTAATACACTTTTAAAAACTTTACAGCACAAAAACAAAAAAAAATCGATTTAATAGTTTTCCTAATATCTCGAGAACGGGGTGAAGAAAAAATTTGAAAAAAGTCACACACACACACAACAAAATTCTCTATGAAAAGAAATGTGTATGCATTTTTTAAAATTTTTTTTTTTTATTATTTCTCATACACATTTTTTGATAAAAAAAAATAAGTTTTTGAAAATATGCCATCTCAAAAAAAAAAAATAAAAAAATCACAATGGTAACTCTGAGTATTGCGCAATATTTAAGTATAGTATTACGGGTGCACTCTACAATAATTTTAGTTAAGAATTTTTTCTTACACCGAAGTTGAGTATAATGAATATACATATTACAAATTTTCCAATTTTTTAAGTTTTTTTTCGAATTTTTTTGAGTATGTAGTTTTGTAGCCCATTAAATTTTAGTATAATAAGAGAAAGTTTTAGTTTCTTGTGAAAAAAATGCGTAAAACCGTTTTCAAAGAAAATTAACGCCAGTTTTGCAATTGCTTAAAATTTAAAAATTAAAAGTTAATGGGCCACAAAACTCAAAAAAATTAAAAAAAAAATCAAAAATTTGTAAATTTGTAATGTACTCATTTTACTCAACTTCGGTGTAAATAATTATTCATAACTCAAATTATTGTACAGTGCACCCCGTAATACTATACTTAAATATTGCGCAACACTCAGAGCTACCATTGGGATTTTTTCATTTTTTTTTGAGATGGCATATTTTCAAAAATTAATTTTTTTATCAAAAAATTTATATGTGAAAAATTTTTCAAGAAAAAAATTTAAAAAATATTTCCCCAGCCAGCAAAATCATCGTAAACGAGTTCGTAAATTGATATTTTCCCGAAGAAAAACAGGATAGCCGTTTACGATGCCTTTTATTTTACGTTTACGTTTATGATAGCCGTTTACGATTCGTTTTCGAATAGGTACTTTTTATCTTAAAATTGTGGAGCACCTACGAACAGTCGTAAACGGGCCGAAAAAGCATTCGCATGCGAATATTATATATTATAAAATATTGTGGTTCAAGACAAATTTCCAACACAGTGAAAACTCTTTCTTGTGCTGACAAGTTACTACACGCCTCTTTCTATACAACTTTTTTGTTTTATCGTTTACAAGCCATTCTCCAACTTTTTTCCGATTGAGAATCCTTTGTAAAACATAATAATGTTCGTAAAATGTACGTCTTACAGAAGACTTTCAACTATCTTAGCTAGAATTGTCCTGTAACAAATCTCAATGAGAAGATAAACGGCGCCTTCATTTCGGGCCTTACATAGTACGTTTCATAGCTGGTTTTCGCATTTCATGAGAGAAACAAGGTGCGCAAAAGATACTAGCAGGCAGCGCTAGGACGTATGGGAAATAAGGAAACCTTGCACTTTGGCTGGTGAACTGCATAAAGTCAGTGTTATCATACTTATCATCTTATAAGATAAGGCAACTGAGGATAGATTGGATGTCTTAACTATTTCGCGTTGCTAAGAAATCTATCTAGTATCTATTTTTAGTTAGTTTAGCTCAAAAATATGCCAGCCGCTCAACAAACAAAAAAAAGAAATACATTTCTCTCTTGAGAACAATGACGTTGTCCTATAAACGGAAGAGACCTACAGGTCAATCCGGTTTTTGTGATAAGCCTTTTATTGATGAAATTGCACTTTAAGTTTTATGTTCACCTGCCGAGGAAAGCTCTCTCTTTAGAACCTTGACCGCAAAATCAGGCTTGTAGGCTAATCTGTCGAGGGGTCCGCCTTGGTTACCGAGATTACAGAATTAGCTTTGGAGGCTTGGCCTTATCTGCTGAGGGGAGTTATTTTTTGAGAACGCCGACGTTATTTCACAAAGCAAGGGCCTAAAGATTAATGACTTAACTGTAAAATTCCTAATTTGTAATGACAGAAGTAGACTTGAAGATATTGCTTTGCCGGTCGAGAGGGAAAAATTGTCTATAATTTTATACGACTGCCGTAGTAGAGTTGAGTGAGAGACGGGCTTAATTCCGGGCGCTTGAAACAATTTGGCTGTCGCTGATTTCTACAGTAGCCGGTAGCCGCATAGTTTTCACATAGGATATGATTAGCCTTGGATGTGCTTTGTTTCCTACTGGTGGTCGCCCTACTAGGTTTAGCTGACTGAATTGGGTATCGTAAGCTCTCCTATTTTGAACGGATTTGACGTCACATCTCTGTAGCTCAAAGGCCAATACTGAGACGCGAAACTGAATAGGGGCGGTTGTCCTCAGTTTCTGAGTATATAAAAGGGCAATTCTGGCTAAGATAGTAAAAAGTCTTTCGTAAGACAAATTAAAAACCGAGAAATTTTCGTTACTCTAGAACTGTGGTGGGCAGCGTCATGCCCGTGGACAAAGCTCTTTTCAAGCGTTCTATACATTTTACATAGGCGCGTGCAGTGTAAAAGCTCTCTCCGCCCATTGTAGCTCCAGAAAAAAAGTCATAAATCAGCTCTCTCATTCTCTATTCGTGGCGAAAAGCTCTTTTGCTAGAATATAATTTTGCTTGCATCGGTCCAACAGTCGCAACAGCCGAGTGTGCCAATCGGTAGAGTCTTCGGTGAGCGATTTTTTTAAATATTTTTTTTTGTTTATTCTTTTTATTTAATTTTCCTTTAATTATTAGATTTCATTGTTATATTATATTTTTTAAATTTCATTTCATTTCTTTTTTTAATTTAATTTTTAGATGTTATTTTTTTAAACAGAAAAAAAATTCTTTTTAGTCTAATTTAATTTTTAAGAAAATATTTCTTTATTTTTGTTCCTTTTCTTAATATAATTTTTTGCTAATTTTAGATTTTATTGTTTTAAAAAGTAACTTTTTTATTTTCATTAAATTTGTAGAAAGGTATTATATTTATTTATTATTTTTTTTTTTCAATTGAAATTTTTTGTTTAAATTTCTATTGTTTTAAAAAGAAAAATGCTTTTTCAATCTCATTGAATTTTTAGGAACATAATTTAATTTTTCTTTCACTTAACTTTTTTTATATTTAATTTTCCTTAATTTTTAGATTTTGTATTAAAAATAAAAATATTTTTTTAAATTTAATTTATGTATTTATGTGTTTTGTAGGAACTTGTTTTCTTTTTCAATTCATTTATTTTATTTAATTTTCTCTTATCAGATTTTATTGTTTTGAAAAGAATTTTGTATTAAAAACAATTTTGTATTAAAGAAGAGTTCATAAAATTTTAGTAACTCTCGGACATATTGTATGGAAGTGGTGACTTTTCGTGGAGAAAGCCATTATTTCGTTATTTGGCATTGCAGAAAAAACACAACATCCATAGTGTTACCATTCTTTTTTTGTTTTTTTCATTGGCACACCCTAATGTAGTCATATATAAAAATACATATTTACCTACATAAATATGTACGCGCCGTGGTTATTGTCCCCAGGTGCCGTTACCTTTCATATTATTTACTAATTTTTTTACATCGCTGCAGTAGCCTAAAGCCTACAGAGCTAAAGTTAGTCAGGCGCGCGATAGCACTTCACAAATTACTGTTTTCTTCTACTCTTGTTTATTGTTTTTGTTAATCACGTTTAATTTAGTTATGCTTATATAAAAAGTTATATCTCTTCAATAAAAATT